CCCCAGGTATTTTCGTGCTGAACGTAGTCGTCCTTATATTAAACAATGACCTCACAGAAACGGGGCACTTCATTAAACGCAGTTCTTACGTTCATCTTCTTCTCTTCAATTCGGCTTCAATCATTCTGGCAAATTCAATAACACGCGTGATAACACAAGCTATTGGTGATGTTGAGGGAGCCCTGGAGTCGAGTTATGTGTTTGGTACGTTTCTCCTTGGCGTTTATAGAACAGTATTTCTCTTCTTGGACTCGCTTTATTTTACGTACGTGATCATCGGAGACAAGAGTAACATATGCATGCACAAATTAAGACTCGAGGAAAAGACAGTCATCACCATTATCTAAGATCACAGAAGCCTGTTCCAGGAGTTCAGTTAGTAAAACGAAGCGCGGTAGTGGAAAAAAGAGGGAGTTTGGAACTGGTCGCGTAATGAACGACTCGACCCAAGCCCCTCCCTCCCGTTTTGGCTCGGCCGCTACTATCGCGCCGTTTACACTCCGGTTTATTCGCGGAAGGCCGGGAACAGGCCACGCTCAAGGAAATTTGAAATACTTGAACTCAATTTGCTGTGATCTTTGAAATCTAATGGCGACCTACCCGAGGAAATAATTATGGGAAAGAGAGGTTAATTTGGCAGCCAAAAGATACGTACAGGTCTAGATCTGTGGTCACTAGAGGATGCAATGAGATTATGTTGGCTCGAGTGGCTGTTGTGCCGAACTCCCTCGGCGCGGATATTAACTAGCACGTTGAGTGTTACTGCCTCTTTCTTTATTTTTTCAATGTTCCTTCCATCCATGCGCTTTTGAGTATTTTTATAGAAAAAGCGCAATATAAGTATTAAATATTATTATTATTATAAAAATTATCATTATCGTTATTAGTACTATGATTTCAATTATAATTGTCATTAGTTTTATTGTAGTTTCTTCAATTTCCGTTTTTAATTTCTTAGCATAACAAGGTGTAATGTTGGGTAACTACAATAATTAGGAAAAGGCTTAGCACGCTTTCTAAATTTTCTCTTCTCTCTCTCTCTCTCATTTATCCCCTTCCTCCCCCTCTCCCGTCAATGTTTCCCGGTGTTGGTGTTAAACAAATGATCACCACCAGGTAACATTGTTGGGGGGGAAGGGCTGACTTTCAAATAACTTTTTAGATAGGAATTACAGGATTTTTTTATTATATTGAATGGTGGATTGTCGAGCACTTAAAAAGGGGAGCGTGCCTATTACTTTTGCCATACATTGTAGTCTACCATTAAATTTCTGAATGGTAATCCCGCATTTGATATAAAGTCAAAGAGACTGACTAAGAACTTGTCAAATGATATCTGGACGACTTCGAAAACATTTTCTCAAAAATGTTTACCATGTAATGAAAAACATGGAATGGGGGAATGTCCAGCATATATTTTGAGGGAAAGTGAGACTACTTTTTCGTGGAAATAACCGTATCTGAAGCTTCCTCTGACTCGGTTGGATTTAAAAATAATTGGAAAGATGATGACTTTTGAACTCAGTCATAAAACGTAGCAAGATGTTCTTCGTCTTACAACGACCATAAGAATCGAGTCTCCACCTTTATGGCGGATAGCGCGCCCCGAAGCTCTAAGATGAGTTTGGCCCTGAGAAGGTTCATATGCGTTCATACGCGTCTTTCTTGCAGCCAGGAGACAGCAAAGTTGAAGGCGTCAAATGAGTGACGAGACGAATAATCACATATTTCTTCGTTAGCTGTCACTTGAAAACGATGGAGGAAACAAGGGAATTCAAAGTGGGTTAGCTTTGTTAATGTGATCAATAAACAAAATGGTATATCAAACATTGTTCAGTTGCAGTTTTCATACGTTGCTTTCTGCCTTTTTCTTGCATGCTTCCACCCACCCTCTCCTACGCCCCACAGCTTAACCTATGTCTGGCTGTACGCCACACTGCGACAGATATGCAATTTGCAAAGTCGAAAACATAACAGTCTGTAACTCTAACCAAGAAACGAGGTTAAAAAAAAATAAACAACGGTCAAAGTTTGCGAGTCTGTTCTGTGTTTATTACGTAACAAAGAAAGGAAACAGAAACTAATATGTATTCAACATGATACCGAGAACTCATCAGTTTTCTTAACAAACAGCCCTGAAACTCAACCGAAAGCTCGTAGTTAAGGCAGCCTCTTTGACCGCAAGTTACCTCACAGTATTAGCAAAAAAGTTTCCCAGAAGTATTTTCTCATCCGCAATTTGCAATCCGTGTACATCGTCTCCAGTTTAACCTTTCTTTCTCCTTCGTACCACTGATCAAACTTTTCAGTGCTCCCCTACGACAGCATGAATAGAAAATCTGAAAAAAGAAAGGAGACGCGTTACACGAGAATAGGACAGGCGTGACATCGCTTCAACCTGCTAGTTGCAGAAGCTGGTAGTTCAGTGCTGAACAGAGTCTTCGGAGGACGCCTCTGATCAAAGATACAAAATCCAGTGAAATGAACAGCGCGAGAGAGCATAAGTGTTACGCTATCTTGGCATTACTCAAGCTACAGAATTTATCTCTAGTTAAATTGAAACATCAAGGCAATTTTTTAAGAAGTCATAATCCGCCACTACGCTCAGTCGATGCTTTAACTATAGCATTGGGCGGCCTAAAATTATACAGGTATAATTACTCCGACCCTCTGTTTTACAAGTCGTCAAAACCATTAAACATATCGTTACTCGGTTTCTTCAAAATAATGACCTAATTCGAATAGTGGTAGGTCGACTTTGTAATACGAGTTCGACTTCCATTTGTTTCTAAGCTCCCATGAGCGGAAATAGCTTACATGGTGCTTACTTCTGACATTTAGAACCTTGTTTTGACATTCTTAGCAAACAAAACAAAAACCGACAACTAGAGCAAGGTTTGATGCAATCCACAGTAAAAGTTGTACTTTCTACAGAGAAATGGTTCAATGCTAAGTGCACCTTCAGATAGGAAGGGATATTTTTATAAATTATATGACAAACCACAAAATGCTTCTGATAAGCAGCTCGTTTTACCATCAAAACTGCTCCGTTTTCTTATGAAAAATTCCAACATTGCGATTGTCATGGAACAAACCGATAGCATAGGCTAATGGCATTCGAAATTATGCGCTTTCGGTGGGTAAGACAACATACTATTTACGACTCTTGTGGCATATTAATTTTCATTGCTTTTACATCATCTGATTCAACTAAATTATTCCTTCGTAGAGAGTAAATAAGTTTTTTTTTCACTATTAAGTTGCTGGAATAATTTGCGTAGTTTTCCTAGCCTAGGATTTAGAGAAGTTGAAATTATTTCAATCCGATTAACGGTCGACCGAAACTTATGAAATGTGCAAAAGTAAGTATCCTTTACAGTCATACATTTGCATTTAATTGAAATGTGATGAAAATAAAAGTTTGAGTTCTTTAACACAATTATCTCTTATTTTAGAAGTAGAGCACAATATTGGCTTGTGAGAATTTACTGCAACGATGGGGCAAAAGGCCAAGTTAAGAAAAAAAAATCATGTTTTTTCCTGTCTACCTTTCAATCTTTGGAAGCTTATAATCATTATCGATCAACGCTGGGTGCAAAACTAGCCAGAATAAACAAACTTAAAATTAACCATAAATGAGCTGTCCCTTTAACTCAACAGTAATCCTCACAAAATCAATACATTAGTTGCTTCACTCAGTAAGAGAACGGAAGTTTGATTGCTTTGTAACACCCATTTAGAAACCTTTAACTCAACAGTAATCCTCACAAAGTCAATACATTACTTGCTTCACTCGGTAAGAGGGCGGAAGTTTGATCGCTTTGTAACGCCCATTTAGAAACGTTTGCGTCTCTTGGAGTCAATTTTGTAGTATGACACTGAGTCACCTCCCTTACATAACCACAAAATAGCGGTAGCAAACGTAAAAGAGGGTTGGTACTGGGAAAAGCCAAGGAAAATTAATGCTAAATGAAGACGGAGAAACATAACAAATGGAAACATTGATAATGACACATGTAAGTTTATCTTTTTTCCATATCCACAATCTATGACAACGCTTCCGTAAGTCTGTTCCATACAAACGTATATAGGATTGAACAAATTCAATTCTTCTTATATTTAAATGGTTATACTCGTTAATTCTAAATTGAATCATGTAATTGTGAACAGATGGATATAGTTCGTGATATTTATCAAATTCTGCCTAGCATGTGTAGATGACTTAGCAAACAAATGTATCGCTAGAGTTTATGTTTCACAAGGTCAAGTGGTTTTACTATAACCTTTTATTGACTTTCGCTAATTGCGATATTAGTTTTTACGGCAGAGGGATTTTCTGTGCTCTTTTGAGTACCAGGTCAACGCTACCCAAGGGGAACACGAAACTGTGGGTGCTCAAGAGAGAAGAGAGAAGAGAAGACGCAGAGGATATCTACCATTTCCCTTTGGAATGTAATTAAGTTTCAACGCTTTTTCTTGGGAGCAAGAAAAAAAAGCATCACTCCTTAATTCTCATTTTCGTATTCTTCTTTAGTTGTTTAGGAATTTTGGGTCATCCTCGGTTAGAGGACCTGTTGCGTTAGTGAGTGACGTGGAACTAAAAAAAGCCACAATAAAGAGCTTAAGATAATAACAGTCGCAATGATAAGTTCACAGTCTCTTCCACCCAGGTGAACCGGAGTTTTACTACTTGAAATCCCATTACTGCCACGATTGACCTTAACAAAAAACCTTGATAATTCCAAACGATTTTGAAAACAATTTGCGCAGATTGGAATGCATATGGAATGTAACAGGTTTAGAGTTAAAATTATAACTATTGACAAATTCCAAACGTACATAAATCATATGGATTACATTGCTGGAAAATTTATTCTTGCGCGTTTACTACGAAACAATTGTTTCCATGTTTTAACATATTTCTTTGCATTTTTCTGGCACAGTTAATAACTAAAATGAAAAAGTTAAGTTAAGTTAACGCTACATTTGAGAACTTCGAAATTCGGCACTTTAATTTTAACGCTGACCGAAACTTTCTAACCTGCTACAACAAAGTCAGCTCTGATATTCCTTGGGACCTAAGGGACAATGAAGTTAGTTATGGATCATAAACACAAACTCAATTATCAAACCATTCACTCTTGAGAATTGACTGCTACAACTACAAAAGGAAGTATGATTATGTAAATCCTGTTGGTCTTAAAAAAGATCTGACAAGGCTAAAAATATTTGTGAGAATACGTCACGAATGAACATAATCTGATGACACTTCAGAGCGAAAACTGATTTAGCTGATTTCACATTTTCTCGGACAGCCTTGTAAACAGTTAAAAAAATAGTACAAATTTATATCGAATTGACTAATTGAGTTTACTCGAAGTGATGGACATTTATGATATTTATATCTGTTCCCAATCAACAGGATTTGACTCCTATCACCTCTGAATGGTGCAAAATTCCTCACGTTGGTTAATGATAATTACAAAACCAAAAACAAGGAGCGAAAAGTCGTACCTGCATCAAAGATATGCGTACTTGTTAATACAAAATTTCAAAATTTTGAAGTAGAACACAATTTTGGAAAAAAAATGGACTTAACGTAAAGTTTTCTTTTGTCTAGGAACTACTCCATTGCTGGAAAATTTTTGTTGGGACAGAATGTATCGTGATTGACCAGGGTTAAAAAGAAATAAAAAGGCAGAATAGGATTAACACCTTCTGCTATCAAAACATTTGATCCCGGATATTATCGTCTGCTATACGAAACTGCCATTGTCTATGAACCAGATGCCATTGAGTAACCATTTGGGTGTTAATGGAAAACAAGAAAAGCATATTCTATTACGTTCCCCTAATAGAAAGGCAACAAGAGAAAATGAGGGTGAGCGAATTGGCACTTGGTTATTCAACATTACTAAACGTGAAATTGCAAAATCTTTCTGTCTGATTGAGTCAGGTCTGAAATTCTTTTAGTTTCCTTGTAAGGTGCAAACTTGGCGTTCCACAGAAAACAAGGGCAGAATGATAAGACTAAAAGCCGAAATATAAAAAACGCTACGAGCAAGGCAGAACCACGCTTATTTTCTGCAGATAAGACCGAATTAAAGTTCTTCTAACAGAGTGGAATGAGGAAAAATTGAGTTATCATAGGTTATTTGAAGCAAGCCCATGAAAGAACAAAAATTAGATAATTCTATCCACCGGGATGTACCGAACAATCACCTCTTTCACCACAAGACCACTGTTAACACTACACTAGAGGAAACGTCCAATTATAAAGGATGGTTCTTCTCATTATAACGTGATGCCAAACTTTGAAATCTACAACGAATTACAAGACCTAGAATTGCTCCGGTGAACTCGGACTTTAATGAGTAACGCACACAGTACCCATCTGATTAACGCGGTTCTTTCCTTCGCGATGTTTAACGATCATTTGACGAATTTGCACAAAATATCGTGATTTGTCATGGTCACTGGCGAGCTTATGAAGTGTTTGGCTAAGAGAAAGGAGAGTAGCATACAATTGATCCGCGAGACACGAATAAACAACTTTACTCGATTCCCAACTCCGAATGCATTTCTAGTGTTCTGATTGGCTCATTCAATTGCGGTTATCAGATCATATACCAAATCACATTATATGGAAAGTAATTTAATCAAGTGTTGCTAAGCTGCATTTTTGGCGGGAAGCAAGGGAGGAAGAAAGCAATGGAAACAAGTAGATGCTTTACCAATGAACGCTCTACCAGAACCTTTAGTTACAAAAGCTCACCTTTGAAGTCTGCTCGAGTAGCCTTAATAGTCGTCTCTTCCGTTCACGCGCTACCACAGAACAATTGCCCCACAGGGCATCTGTAAATATGCACATTGCCTCTGGACAAGCTAGAACTTTTATAAATTAAACCGAATACTTCTCTCAGTAATTCGTAACTCGTACAACCAGAGTGACAATTTGAGTTCAGGATATTTAAACCAAACGAGGTATCCTCGATCACTTGCTGTGTTCAGGTCCAGATCAACAAAACACTTGAAAAAACTGTGCACAACTTTTCTGCCGCATTCATCATTTCGTTACCAAGTCAATTTTTCAGATTTCTTCTCGAGAATCAATATCTGACAGCCGAGGGGAGCGATCTGCCATTTTCATCGGAAGAGCCTGGAAACAACTACAAATGAGATGAATACAATTTGCAGCGTATCATTGTTGGTTGGTACTGCGCATGCACAGAAAACTGCTTATTTACGCAAGTCCAGAGGTGGGCAACGGAAAGGAAGAGTAATTGTTCGAGGATGTTTTCAAATATATATTTTTTTAGGGGAAAGGAAAATATTGCTATAATACACAGTTAGTTTAAAGCAGTTTGAAAAATCATAAAATGTTACAGAAGAGGGGCATGTGGGGTTCCAATTTTCCTTACTTGAATTAACAAGCTTTTGGTTCTTTCAAGTACTTGTCCTTTATCACTTTTTTAAAAAATTAACGATATAAAAGGGAAATCGCCAGTGTGTGTGTTATTCAAATGAATGAAAGACCCTGTTCCTCACTGTTTGGCATCAAAGCTATTCGTTATTTTTATGAAAAACTACGTGACTAAGCCAAACCCATAATCCTTACAGCCATGCACTCTGTTGAGTCATCACGGTCATCCATCGAAGGCCTTTAAGGAGGAATGAGGCGATCCGGAAGATTTAATAAGGACCAGGCTACATGCTTCTGTTTTTAATTCATTTACAAATTGTTTCTGATGCATCTTTTGCAATTGTTTGATTAAAGAAAGAAAAAAAAAACAGCGTGGGAGATGTGACATAACTTGGTCCGCAGTTTCCACCTTGGGTTTCTTCCGTATGTTTATCTTTTTGATCTGCTTTCCAGACCGTCCTCGGCATACCTGTTTTTGTCCCACGTTAGTCCCACGTTCCGCCTGATCATTATTCCCTCTTCTCACCTTTATATTTTTGTTACTTCTTGAAGGCTGCCTATGGTGACCTTAGAGCTGAGGAAAAGAGTTGATCCAGTTTTCTTGAAGATATTTAAACAGTTTTAAACTGAAGACGTAATTTGTCCTACATTTTTCTTTTCACACCTCTGTGTCCATTATTACTAAATCAAATAATTTAACAATGATTATAGACAATTTCGTGATGTTCTCGACGAAAGGGCAGTTCTATCCTTTGTCCTACACAAGAGACAAAGACAAGTAAAAACGTCTGCTGACAGGATGACAATAAAAAACTTTAGTCTACCGAATCGAGAAAATTTATTGCTGTCTTTTATGGCACAGTAGAAGCCTTCTGACTTTAAGATCAACAACTAACATTCTCTCTGACAGGAAATTCATTCGTGACTCTCTCCTTTCCTGGCGGACGAATCATAAGCCTTACAAATGACTGATGAAAGATTGCTAGAGCTATTGATAACCAGAATCTTTATCGATTGCTTTAATGACAAATTGAACGATTTGCCACGTTATCGTTTCTAGATATTGATGGATGTCGATAACGAAATTATTTTCAAGAAATGGAAAATAGAGGAATGCAAAGATATTGGAAAGGAAAATTGTGTGAGGGACATTGCTGATTGTGAGCTAGAAAATCTGACACATCACTGACTGTAGCCTTTCATTGAAACCAGATTTTTCCTGTTTTCCCTCTTCATCACGGTAAACCCTCGTGAATAAATCCAATATGCCTCACCACGATCACCTGGAGGATTGCAATCGAATAGGAATTTGTAATCATCACAGTAAACTGATGAGTGAAAGTAGCAATCCCTTGACAAAACACACACACACAAAAATGGGTTTCTCTCCATCAGACGAGAATACTCTTTACAATGTTTTGTGCTGGGACAGACATGAGAAATTAGCGCAAAGCTAATCCTCTTACGGCCTCCAAACAAAATATTCTTCATTTTTTTCTTTCGTGACACCAAGGCTACGTAATCAACGCACCTTAAAGCACAGAACATTGTGCGTTCGTGCGACACGTGCTGACTATTTGGCTGTGGAATTGACGAGAAAGAAAAGAAGCGTTCACGTAGTGACGGCTAGACAATGAGACAAAAATACCAATATCAGTAACACTGATGGTATTAAAATATTTAGATGGACTTACCGCGAGATATGACATCTTTATATCCCTAGTCTTATTTGGCTACAAAAACAAAGATAATTTCCGCTTCGTACGACTTTGGCCCACCCACACGCATGTTACCTTCTTGATCAGGAATAAAATAAGAACCTGGAGAGAGATCAAAAGGAAAAGATTAATTTTTGCAGCTGGTCTGTAATTACACAAGAAAGTGGCATGTTGAGAATTCCATCGAAGGTTGTTCAAGTCTAGGGTTGGTAAAGATTGTTGTCTTGTTAGTTTTTTGCATTTCGTGACAGTTTTAAATAGAGTTGTTAATTCAAGCTTCAAGCCATGTGTGACTTTGAGGGAATGACGTCATAATAGACGACCACCAGAACGCATTGGTTCATGAAGTGTGAAAGTTGTTATTAAAAATACGTTTATACCACCGAATTCGTAAGGCTGAGAAGACTCACTAAAAACCGAGGACTTAAAAAAGTATATTCATAATTTTTGGGTGATAGAATGTGACCTACAGTTGCCACAAATCCTCTTTAGCATTTAGTTTTAAATACTTGAAATAGGTAACTGTCACCTAACTTTGTGAAAAAGAGCTCAAAATTTGTACAAACCATACTAAATTTTGGAAATATTTTCTTCTTTCCAACATATTTTCTCAGAGACTTGCTGACAACTGGGAATTACGTATCGCAATAGAGTCCAAAGATAATATTTCTTATCCACTTCAGACGAGAGAAACGTGAAACTATGACGGAGATGCATGAAATTAAAACCACGATATTTTATCAAAACTGAAAGTTAAAAGTCAGTTCACAAAAGGAGACTGTCCTTTGTATATTAACAGGTCCGGGCAAGTGACATTCCGTCCTTGTTACTAGCTCATTACGTGTGGTATATATCATTCGTGTTTTCATTTGTCATAAAAAAAAAGTTACATAAAAAAATATATGAAAATACGGTGGTATAAGTAGTGAGAAAACAAATAATGGATTAAAAAAAGCTATATATAGCTAAGAACATGCGCACAGAAAAAACCATACAAAGGGAAAAAAATTTTGATCATCCCTTTCCTGGCGGTTTACTAGGGAGAAAATCACGATATGTTCTGTTTAATTCAGCAAATATAAGCAAGCTAAAAGGATTGTCAATTATTTGTAATTTTTTCCAAAGCTGAGAAGGAGATTAAGAATTTTTGGAGCAAAATCCTTATTATTCTAATCCGATTATCTTAGTGTATGATTTCTTTCACTGTATTTCCATGGGATTATACCGGAGATTTTGTTTTCACGACTACGCAACACAAAGATTGAAATAATGAGACATCTTTGTTACGTGGCAACAATTTACAAGTAACGTGTATTGATCTACTTAGCAGACCCTATAAATTTAAGGGAACACAAAACTTCATCACACAACACCAGTCTGTACTTGCTCCGAAAAGAAATGTTTTCGTCAAGTTATGTCTCTTTAGTAACCTGGCACGTGTGGATAACAAGCTCAAGAGGTTTCACAAATCGGGACAGACTTATTGTTAGCTTAATATAGTTCTTAGTTATCTATTTTTGAAATGAGCGCTTGGCGTTCCTTAGTGGGTAATACCACATACCACATTGATGAGGAGGCTAAAATGATACATAAGAACCCAAAGAGACATTTTCATGTGATAGTTACGATCATTTGTCATAATAATAATAATAATAAAATCGCTTCGAATATGTCAGTGAAAACGATATGGATAAGCAAAGGTCACTACTCTAGTTGCTGATACAATCACACACACACGAACACACACACAGGCTCTAGACAGTTGTGATCGCCACAAACAGGGGGTTTAGTTCAAATATCAAGACCTTATGTTATGGACATCTCTTCAAAATGTCCACAATTTTCAGACAGCCCTTGACCAGATCCTCTGACCTAAAACTGAACTTCGAAATGATTCTTTTCCACGAGGAGTAATTGCACGAGAAAATATTTAGGAAATCTGGTGATTCCTAAGATAATTTTTGCGTATTTATATACATGTATGGCATGACATAAAGCCATCTGAAAATGTACTCATCTTGGAGAATCTTTAACGCGTTTAGCAACCATCGATTGAACTTCTCATGATCAGATTTTATTGATTGGTTATTTCCTTCATTTAACAAGAAAAGGTTGCCCTGATTGTTCTAGTATTTCCTTTTAATTCTTAGACACTCGAACCTACGACTAAACACTTAAAAGTAGACAAGATATCTACAAAAACAAGGATAACAATGGAAGGAGAGCAGCTCGGAAATATTGTCTCAAACTGATTAAGTTGATTTTGAGAGGAAATAGGTAACAGACCCATACGTTTGTCGAGTTTAAAATATTTCAATCGCAAAATGCTTCTTCGCATATAGCAAAGAAGCGCTTCAACGATAAAAAAACCGTGAGAATTGAAAGACTAAATTTCACAATGTTGGCTTTTGATAAGACTCTCAAAGAAATTTGCTACCCAAAATTAAATTAGGTTCACTCAAATTATATTTGTGTTTCCATTTGTTCTGGCGAAGGGCTAACGCTCGAAACGCCAGCTTTTAAACGGTTCTTTACAGTGGCCAATTTACGTAATCAACTCAGTTGATAAGACCAAATTAGCCTGTTATATTCTCCCATCGACGCAGCACCAGTTTCTTTAGAAACTTACCCCCTTTACACATGTCTGTGTTAAGTTGAGTTGGGGTAATAAATAACAAAATAATCCAAAGAACTCTGCTGAGGCTTGTATCATTGATCAAGAAAAATAAACCTTTTCACTGCTGAAAGATGTTTTTCATTTGTTTGTTTAATTGTTTTCCCTTTCTGAGCTCGAATATTCAATATTCGAAGAAGATCGAATATTCACATGAAAAAATATAATTAATCTTAGTTCGAGAGACGTCACCCAGAAATAAAAGCGGTCATAATAGACTAAATATGTGGGTTTTATCTTGAAACTAGGTTAAAAAAAAAAGAGCCCAATAGTCTTAAAACGAAAAAAAAAAGGGAAAAAAAGCAACATATCTGGCTGGTACACAAGTGGAATTAGTCGAATTTTGATTTCTAAATTGCTTTAGAATTCTAAACAAACGAACAATACTGAAAGGGGTGAGATTTGTTCCATAAATCATTACGCATTGCAGCAAAAACTGTGAACAGTTCTTTAATTGTGTTTTCATTACTCATGTCAGCTTAACACCTTATAATTTTTTTTTAAAGCGTAACGGTTGGCAAGGATCCTGTTCATAATGGCGTCCATAAACGAAGAAGTACTTAATTGTCTTTGTTTTTCTCTTCCAGTGAACTGGAAATTCAAAGTTCACCGCGTAGCCTAAATGAGATAAAAAGGTCGGCACTGAAGATTTTTTCCCCCTGGCAGCAAATACCGTGTCAGAAGCGAGGTTATTGGACAGTGTTGACGTCTACACTTTTAAAAGATAACACGATAAGCAGTAATTAAAGAAATAACTCTAGGCAACAAGAGAAGTTACTTTAACAAGGTTATGCTACTTCAGCGTCGCGCTACACATGTTTTGAGAGATTTGGTGACTTATTCAAATTGCTCAAAATTAAGCCAATTTTTTTGGGCCTTGTCTTCAGGCGCCGCTCTGACTGGGCTCATTCAAGAGCTCATTCTTGATAATGAATTGAATAAACTTGGCACTTACTGCTGAAATCCTTTCCAAATTACACCCATCCGTTGTGTGTTATGCTCACAGCACAGAAACAAATCAATAACATTCAAGAGAAGTTCAACAACGGGAAATTGGCTCGATACGCCAGACAGATAAATGAAGGCATGCGATGAGTACAAATTCAAACATGCGAAAATCATAGAGATCGCTATCAATAACCTGCAAACGATTATGCACAACACCTTTGATGTATTGAAATCGGGAGCAAACAAAGAACTCGCTAGACAAATAAAGCAAAGAGAAAAATACACAACTATACACCACTTACAGAATAACCCTCGTGGTATAAAACAATCGACAAAGCTTAACTTAAACTCAATCTTCTACACCGATAACTGGCTACATACGAGCCATTGACACACACATACAAACTCTCACTATGGGATCGTGTTATGTAAATCGCTGTTGACAGCTTGACCTGTTTTGAGTATGGCAGCGATGATAAATGATCAAGCAACCCAAAGGTATGTTTGAAATGAACCAGCTTCTGGTGATAGGCAGTGATTAATGTCATTCGGTCATCGATTAGTGTTCGCGTGCTCAACACTATGCACCACAAGTAATATATCACAGAAGCCTTCTTCTCCTCCCCCGATCGTCGGCGGCGCCTGCGTGGCGAGAAATTTGCGAGTCTTTGTGACGGAAGTGGGAAAAGTCCGTTGAAAAGCGACACACATACGCTCAATTGTCATTATATAAGCCCAAGCTAGAACACTTAAGATGCAGTGAAGTGGAAGTCGTAATCGGGTTAAGGTTGACTTGACTATATTTTAGAAAATCGTTTTGGCATGTTTGACTCAAGGCAAGGTAATTTGCGGCTGTCGAGTTCGCTCGCTTTTTTGCTCCTCATTTCCTCTGTTGCTGGTGGCGGCGTGGCACCGGGATTTAAAATACAAGGTTTGTGTGTACATTATAGAGATTTTAGTGTTCAAAACCGCAGGAGAGCAAATTTAGAGCCACTGACTGCGACATTATCTACTCCTAGGGAGCCTGGCTTCGTGCACTGTTGAGAACGCAGTCATTGAGCTACCAATTTTGGCGGGAAATCCATGTTTTGTGTGCCGATGCAAGGTTAGTGGAAGCCCTGAGTTTTTCTTTTTAAAGAATTTATAACCAGTTCGTGACATCATTGTTCAGAGTGTTTCGATAAGAACTGCCTACAGTGACAACCTTGGCAGGAAACACAAACGCGTCTATAAAAAGGCGAGCGAAGTTTTTATAGGATTAGGAAATGGTCAAAATTGCTGTTCAAATTTCAACGTAAACATTCGGTGGGAGGAAGGCAAAGACACTTATTTACTTTTCAGATGGAGGAAAAATTATCACTGATAGCTGATGGAGCTGATGATGGCTCATTCCGTCTAGTCCTAGTAAAATCATTGGCTACAGACGCGTGCAAATATTTGGAATATGTCCATAGAACGCACCATCACTTGTCCAATTTGTCTACCACCGTGCACACTAATTGAACATAAGTGAAGTAACACTCGCACGCGGTTTAGTTTTTGTGTATATGCTTTATTTAGATAAATCAGCAAGCTAAATAAAGAACGGGGCTCGCGTATCTAAACAGAAAATTCGACAGCTTGGGATAGTTTGTAAGTGGGAGAGATAACAAAGAAAAAAAGTAACTAAGAGAGTCGAGAACTGATCAACTCGTGTTCATCTTATCGGGAAGGGGTCGAGATTGAAATCATCATAAGCTCGTCAACAACAATTTACTCTTGAACTGTTTCGTGGTTGAATAGCTTCCCTTGTTATTTGAAGTAAATTGCTTTCCGTTTGCTATGCGAAAAACGTCAACTTCACAAAAGTACACTTTAGCCTGTCCGTTAAATGACAATAGGCAAAGAGTAGAATCATTAACGCACTTGAGAATCACTCAGGCTACTACTAATGGCACAACAAACAACAAGTGCTTTTTCCACTTTTGATTCAGCTGGTTCGTGTTCAAATATATTACCGAGGAATACGGAATTTGTTTCTACAAAGACGAAGACACGATGCGATTAGCGGGAAAACACCAAGTCACGTACACTTTAGGCGATATTGCAAATGCCTTCCTTGGGTTGGGGTTAAAATAAAAGGTTATAAGTTCTCATCTGTATTTCTTCCTCTGTATCACATGTGTTCTCGCTAGCGGTCAACTTTTTCCTAGGTTAGGAATTCCTAATATACACATATCTGAATGATTTCGAGTTGATGGATTTTCTAGTGGTGGGCATAAATTTTTTGAACAGCCTCGCCCGTTCCTCTAATCCGTCACTATTTGAAAACAAATTTCTTACCTTCGTGAGCAGAATGAGTATCTTGTAGCAGTTTTGAACTGAAAAAAAATCAGTCGCAATAGTTCCTTAGACTATTAATCCGAAAAATGTGCTTTGAGTTTCATTCTCACCTCAACACGTTGTGATTGACGAATTACGAAATACATGCCTGAATATAATTAGGAGATTTGGGTGAAAAAATTATTTCAGTTGTTACTCTTGCCGTACGAACACATTTCGAGGTTGCGTCTCAACTACGAGAATGCCTCCAAAACGAAGGGAAAATTCCATTCAATACGAAAGCGAGAGGTTGGGTGTTTTCGTACTAAAGGGTTCAGTTATTTGAAGAATGCGAAACTTCAGCTATAAAAAGTGAAATTGAAAGACATGGCTGATAAAACAATCAATCTGATAAATAACTGACACTAGAAGCCTAAAACGAACATAGCAGACACGTTTGATGGCTAAATTACTCCAAACCGCGACTTTAAAAATCAGTTTTGGCACGAAGGTAACTGTCTTTCACAAATCAGTCGAAAATCCACTGATGAAATGATGGACATAAAAGCCGGTTTCAGTTCTCCTTCTTTCCCGTCCTGAGTTTCCAATACCTTTTTAATCATTTTAGCCTTTTTTTAATTACCTACACGTAGCTTCAGTCGTTGCTCCAGACAGAAAAATAAATTAACTGTACTTCACCTGAAGAGAACACGATATAATTTAATTTTGACAGTGTAATTCATAACTGAGTTGCTTTCATCCATCTTTTCATTCAAGTCAAAAGTGATTGATTGGCACATTTCCGAAGGATTACTCTAGGAATGATTGGCAATTTTTAACGTCGTCTGTTTCTCGTTTCTTCTTTAAGATACAGCGAGAAATCACATGCAAGATAGTTATCACACCCTTTCCTTCCTAAGATTTGACATTCTGATATCCTTTCGTGTATTTTGAGTCACAAGTCACTGGTATTTGTTATGTTCTCCTCTTTATTAACGTCAGCGGCAACAAGATTAGAAACATTTGCATTGATAAGATGATAAGTTTTCTCAGTGCTGTATCTTTTATCAGTCTACGACTCAATAACAGGCTTTGGCATGCTAATACAAAAATCCAATTTAACCTCCCATGTTATTGCTTAAGATAATTTGCATAACTAAAATTGTATCAAATATTTTCTTCTCATGAAATCGCATGCAGAAATATCCAAAAACACGTGGATTTATCCCAAAGAAGCGAGTTGTGAGCCGATCTCACCTAACCGTCAACTATAACACGAAAAAAGTGTTAAATTTCTTTCATTATTTCCATCTTTTTGCCTTAAAACGGATTCCCAAGATGTTTTTTAATAAAAAGAGAAGGAATCTGACCCAGAAACAGTCACACAAGATAAAAACAGTGTTTGTTTAACCAAGTGACTTTTCGTGCAATTCTTACGTCAAAGAATCTTCCACACCTCATCGTGGCCACGGAGACAGAAAGTGAAAAGGGTTTTGAACCCAAATACGGAAAATATCTGTGTATCAATAAAAAAAAATGTTATGGTAACACAGATTGCAACGGAAAAAAAAAAACAAATCTTTTTGAACACCGCAGAAGAAAATCGTGATCCGTCGAAGTTAACTTTCATGTGGTTCGATGTCACTCATCACATCAAAGAGGTACCCACAAGCAAATAAAGAAAATCTCAACGGTCTTCCTTTAAAAGAACGTCGTGTTAACGTAGTCAGGTTCTTTCTCAAGCATTCGTTTATTTTTCCTGTTATCTTATGAGTAACCTTCCAAGCGTTTTAAACCTATGGAATTTGTCCCCTAGAGACTTTTATTAACCCTAAGTTACCACTGTAACATAAAATAAAAGCCCAAATTATGGGTTCTGCCATGACGGTTTCTGTGATGGAAGAATTTAACGATTGTTGGCAAAAATTAAAATTGAAATCATTAAAAAACCTTCAACTTAGAAATATCATGTTGAATGCAGTTTAGTCATCCAATATGACGAAGTGAGGAATCATTACTTTAACACGCTTAGATCCTTTAATTTTGGTCGAATTACCACAGTTTAAAATAGCCAGTGAATTAAAAAAAAGCCATCAGAAAATTAGCTTATATTTCCCACGAGAAAATAAATGGGAAAAATTTTATCCTTCTATCTTAAAGTAATCCGTGTAAGAGACTACAAAAAATGAAGTAATCAAATTATGTAACACTATGTGGTACCGTTTATTGACTTGCATTAAGAATCTATCGTGCACAGCATGACAGTATAAGTCAAGTGCTTCGATGTGGCGCTTTTTCCTCCCTTGCAAGGGATCGTCATAAGCCCCACAGGGTCGCCCTTAATAGTTCAAAGTACTGCAGAGAGGTTTTGATACGTAAAGACAAGCTCAGAATATCTTACTATTTAAGTGCTTGGCTATGTTGCTGTTTTGTACACGTTTGTTATTTTTTCATCAGTCGAAGACACTTTCCAGTATAAAGGGAGATTTTTGAAAATGCAAGTTCTTTAAACGTTGACTCGGATGGCTTATAGGTGCGGCCTGTAGTTCATAATTCATCAAGCGTTAGGACGCCATGATTAAATATAATTTTCCAGAGTTGGTCTCTCTTCGTTACGTTCGATAGACACTAAAACCGTTATCTATCCAAGTGCTTCGATTACTTCACCACTAAAAATCGTTCGTTTCATTGTAGGAAATTGCAATGTCTAAGTTCGATGACATACAACCCAAATAAGACCTGTAGAAGTAGTAGAAGAAGAAGTACAAAATGATTTCGACTAAAACGTATCAAATCTTCGTGCCGTGTCAGTAGGGTAGCTCTTCCGTTTCAAAACGCTGATATTTTATCTTGAGAATGATTACTAGTGCTTATAAGGACTACATAGTAAGCCCCCTTGTGACTACAATTAACAGCAAGGATATCGCAAGAGACTTCAAATTATTTGGATCATTACATGCCTGTGGTTTACTTATTATAATGGTGGTATGAGAGTTTAAGCCGAGGAGAAAAACAGCTGATGGGTCAATAGCATTTACGCAAAAGACGTTTCCTTTAGGGGGAGCCTTTCTTTTAGCCTGTCTGTAAACATGAAACAAGATACGGGTGTGTATAACCTCTTATGCCGCTGCAGAGTGGCATCAGCAATCGCACTATCGTTGAAAAACAAGCAACTAATCGCTATAATCTTGGCACTTGTTCACTTTGTTGGGGGCCTTTTCTCTGTTTGATGTGTCACGTATTATCATCAATTCTGTGAGACATATCGATATTGCCCCAAGGGTGGTATTAAAATTCAGACAAAATAACATTAAGTACTTCAATTTATTTACCTCGAATTCCGTGCTGCACGCATTATTCACATAACTTAACAAGTACGTTGTAGTGCTCAGGAAATCCAGTCAAGATCATTTGCCAATTGTCATTGCTTAATACCTCGCGGGAAATGTTTTTCAGGAAACAATTATATTTGCTGATCAGAAAGATATTTCGATTCACAAATACAAAAAAGGAAAGATAGATAAGATCTCTGAGCTAAAGACCACAACCTCCTTGGAATCTCTTTCTCTGTCAAGTTCTCCAAAAAGATACCGTTGCAGCAATAAGTCAAACAGATAATAAAGGAAGTAGAAAATATTTCTCCATCGGTTAAGTGGGAGTCAGACCCCAACTGACTGCGATCCTTGACAGTATAAACTGATTAATTGTGCCACAGGCGCCCTTCATTCTTAGATGAAGTGACATACCAATTCAGACTTGATATATTTGAAAAAATTCAACAGTTGTTTAGTCTCCTATTTCTGATCTGAACGAACTGAAACCCAAGATCCTTAGGCTAACAAACTCCAAACATCTACCACATTAAACAGGTAAAAACCGAGATTTGGCAAACAACCATAAAATAAGTGTCACAAGACAACTCTGTAGGTTATATTGCCCTCTTATTTTAGTCAGCTATCATGCCTTTCTCCCAATCCTTCCCTTCCCCCCGCCCCTCGGGAAAAGACATATCAAAATAGCTTTGTCAGTATATTAAGAGTCAACTTGTAGAAAACATTCAAACCATTCCTCTAGTAATGGAAAGAAACTTAAGGAAGTGGATTCTGACGGACGTTTGACGAACATTTAACACCCATGGAGAAATCAATATAGAAATTCTAGGCGTGAATCGAGAACTTAATAAGGAACAACTAAGCATCGACCAATTATAGATCAGTTATCAATT